GGCCCAGCCGCAAAGTTTTGCAAAGGCGCGTTCTGATGGGGTCGCCATGCCAATCATAGGGTTGGATATCTCTGAGGAGGTGATGGATGTGGTGTTGCCGGTGGCATGTCAGCATGCTGAGGTAGCTGTCATCGCTGCTGTGCCTCGCACTTATATCACGCAGGCGGATCCGGCACGTTTGCATTGGCTCCGTGCTGTGAAACGGGACGACCGTTTGAGTGTTTTGGAAGTAGGAACTAAATTTTGGTTGGTTGTGTTCAGCAATGCTATGTGGAAGCGCGCCCTGGTTAAGGACACAACGCGCGCCGTTCAGTTACTTTAGTGCCTTTTTGAGTGGTGTACCGCCAGCTCACCTAGCGCAATCCGCGCATGAGCTGGGGGGGGGAGTGATCCATCCGCATTTCTTATGTCTGTTAGCACGTCATATGGCGTGACAGCTGTCACGCCAAAACATCTGGAGCGCACAAATTACGTGCCACGACCGAGTTAGTCGCTATCCGCAGGTGGCTAAGCCAACCGAAGGTAGTCAGGCGAACCGCGTATTGATTTAATTGAGACTTTGAGTGTTGCCTGACTAGCGTATAAGGCGCTTTCCGTTGTGATTTGAGGATGTTAGGTTGTCGTTCATCTGTCGTTAGTCGGATGAGCGTTACGCATCCAGGGTAGGGCCGGGTGTGATAAGGCCCGGCGTGGATCAGTCGGTACTTCGCCATAAATGCGAGTGCGAAGAGGCCAAACATTTGTCGTTTGGCTCTCGAAGCAACTCTTCGTGAGCGTATAGACCATTATATTATTGAAGATAATATAATTATAGGAGGGTTGATAGGACTGTTTTGGTGTAAGAACACTGCAATCCTACCCTACCTCGACACGCGCATCAGAGCAGGATAGACAGAGAGTGTACACACAGCATTCCATAAGGTCCGCCCTTAGTGCTCCTACCTCTAGGCTCGACAGGGATCCGTTCCCAGCCCGTCCTCGCCTACTGCGATCGCGCAAATCAAGTTAACGAAGCTGGAGTGAGCCAGCCAAGTCAAGCCGGAGCTTTAAGGAGAGCTCTTATTGTATAATCATCATTACCCCACAGTGATCCATCCGCATTTCTTATGTCTGTTAGCACGTCATATGGCGTGACACGCACACACGTCCCCTTGCATACAACTCCCCCTTTCCCCCCACTCCCCCCCCATCCCCTGGTGTATCCAGGTCCGTGTACTGAGCTACGAGGCGGGAGGTCCGGTGGGGGGCGAGGTGCGCATCACCCGCATATCCAAGAGGGCGGGAATGGACAAGGTAGGCGGGTGTGTGTATGCGTGTGAACGTGTCTGTTGGGTG